AAAACGAAATGCTGAAGAAGTGAGAAAATAAATTCCACCGTCATTTTTTTTATCTTAATCTTGGATGATAACATGGACAAAATTATACTTATTGATCAATTTGGTTGTGGAACTTCTTTTCTATTTTCAGCTTTTACTCTTCTTGTCGCATTTTGGAGCGTACTGATGGAGAAATGATTGCTTGCCTTTATAACTGCAGCGTTGTCATTTTACTAGACGCAAATAACGGTACCATTGGATTTGAAATCAAATGTTTCCCGACATTTATTTATTCTGTTCTCACGCACACTTCCACATGCCCGAATACCTCTATCACACATGCTTGTCAATAGTGAATAACTGGTGAAGAAATTGTCAAAAAATACATTATGGTTGTTGGGGTTCTCAATTACTTCTAACATTTTATTTACAACGTGGGAACCTAAAGGCATCTTTCTATCTATTGTTTTATCGCAGTATATCTCTAAATTATAGGGGAATCCGTCTTGTCCATATAACATCCATATTTTGAAACCGAATCTTATTGGTTAATTTTTTATGAACATCTTAGACGAGTGATGCCCATGATACAGAATCATGTATTCATCTATGCTAAGATTTTCAATCTTATTGGTTAATTTTTTTATGAACATCTTTGTCGAGTGATGCCCATGATACGGAATTATCGATTCATCTATGCTAAGATTTTCATGGAAAACTCAAAATTTTTTGAAGTTTTGTTTCAGTATATCATATATATATATATATATATATATATATATATATATATATATATATATATATATATATATATACAGATTGAACCAAATTAAAACGGAACATACAATTTAATACATGTCTGTTTGAACTGCATTTGAAATAGTGGACCAATATAAAACTTGGACAAAAATAAATCCATACTTGTGTATAGACATTGTATAAAATATCGTTCAACTATCTGTCTCGCAACAAAGTTGTTTGCGTAAGACGGGTTTGTCTAAGGAGGCGATAATAGTTCAGGAAATGAAGCTCGACAAAAGTTAAAAACCTCGCAATTTTTTCGTCCTGCATGTATCCAGTTGAAATTTTAACCGAAAGTAGGTGATAGCCCAAGGATCAAAATCTATATCGAACCGAAGTGCGCTGAAGGGTTTTAGGGGTGAAAACTACCCCTAATTGTCAAAAATTATAAAATATCATATTAAACCTGAATATGGGTAAAATTTGGTTTGAATTAATTAAATATTGATAGTTTCGTGCTTTTGAATAAAGTTCCATCATATTTCAACCCTTAAAAAGCGACCGTTATTAGAGATTAATATAAAAAAATTAGTAATGCGAAGAAAATGATTTCACCTTCGAACTATTTGCATAAAAATTTGGAATTAAGCTCAACTCACCCTCTGCTTTATAGTTTTGTGTCATGCCGATGAACCCTGATTGTTCTTAGGGGTGAAAACTACCCCTAATTTTCAAAAATTGTAAAATAACATTACAAATCTTAAGATGAGTGAAATTTGGTTTGGATTAGTTAAATAGTGATTTTTTTATACTTTAAAATACAATTTCATACATTTTCAACCCTTAAAAATCAATTGTTATGAGTGCTATAGGTGAAAACAATTTTTTGCCAAAATTTTGCAACCTTTCAACTTTTGAAAATCACCCTTTACAACATTGCAGTTTTTATAAACTAATTAATTAGATATAAATTAAAAAAGTAGAATTAAATACAAAAAAATTATCAACATAAAAAGGCACCATATATTCTTATACATTTACATAAATAGTTGAAAATATTTACATTTATAGGTAAAACAATTATAATATTAATTTTATTAGTTATAAATTACATCTTCATCGTGATCTATGTCATCCTCATCTTCTTCAATTATTGGTGTACTGTTATTGCACCCTTCACCTGAGCACCCAGAACAAGTAGAGTTACAGTATAAACCAACTTTTCTGCACCCACATGAAACGCCGCATCCTTTTGTGCATTGGCAAAAAATAATTTTCAAAAGTTCATCGGGTGCAGGTTGTTTGTTCATGCGTACGGGTAATAACAAACCATCTTTGGAATACCATTCCCAATCTGTTGCTCTGATATTTTCATTGCCAAGCCATAGACATATGAGCAGATGTTTTATTCTGTTGTATGGGATTTCAAAATAAGAATGCTTAAAATTATTATGCTCCGTATTTTCTTTAATTTTTAACGATAGAGTGTTTCTTCAAAACGATTTGTAGAGGTTTTTAAGAGCTACAAGGATTTGTGAATTAAATCTTTTTGGAACCCTTGGTTTTTAAATGGGGTGAGTTTAAAGGGCTCGAAAAAGATGGTGCTTGATCGTAAATCGATGCTTTAAACGGCTGTATCTCGCCAAATATTCATTGTACAACAAATCTAAATATCAAAATCTAGCATCATTTTCCCGATATTTGACTTTGAATCTTTCAAATTTGGCATTTGAAGAAAACCGCTGAACATTGATAGGAAGTATTTCGGTTCCTATTATATCGCAAAAACATTTTAAAAAATGAATTGTATTTGTCTTTTTAAAAGCTACAAATTTGTTCTCTACAATTTTTTTTGATAAAATGCACCATTTTCGAGTTATTCGCGAAAAATCGATTAAAAACGTGGATTTTTTCTTCTAAAAGTTGTTACTTTCAATCGCGAATAACTTGAAAAATATCATTTTATAAAAAAATGTATAGCACATTTTTTGTTTAGAATCACTTTTCTAATCGAAACCTGTAGTTAAAACGTAAAAAAAATTTCAGCCCGGAGATGGGGTGGCAACCACCCCCTAGGCTTTGGCGCACTTTGGTTCGATATAGATTTTGATCCTTAGGCTATTACCTACCTTCTGTTAAATTTCAAGTCAATCCACGCCGCACGAAAAAATTGCGAGGTGAAATGCTACATTTCCTGGACTATAACTGGTTTGACAGCATAATAAAATCGTAGATTTATGTGTAGCTTTCAATTTTTATGAGTTCAGAATCCAGCAGCCCGCTGAAGTATGGGATTTTTTATAATATAATTATTTGACAATCTTTTGTTGGCCAACCATCTACAGCAGAATTGAGCCGACATACATTATATTCCTATGTTCCGAATTTATTTCGTTCAATCTATATATATATATATATATATATATATATATATATATATATATATATATATATATATATGTAAAAATGTTATCTTCTGCATTATCTGTGATAATGCCAACCTTGCAGTTGGTAATATATATTGGTAATAACATTTTTTAAGTCGGAACCTTTGCCGACTCATTATTTTAGAAAAAATTGGAGCATACATGCCATCTGCAGCAGACCAGTTATCATCCTCAGAAGGAACATGGTGATATCCGCTTATCAAAAGTAAAGTAACGTAAGTATCAAAAACTGACGAAATTTCATCATGTAGTGAAAAAATTTCGAACTCCGATTTGCTCAAGTGTTCATCGCCTACTCTTGTTGGTGTGGAAGTTTAAGCTTGAATTCCAACCTTCTCACTCTTTTTCCATTTACGTTGAACCGATACATTTTCTTCCTAAGCGTGAATTTCTACTTCACCGGGTACTTCGTCTGGTATATCAGGAATATCTAACATCTGATCGTCAATAGTATCCTTGTCGCTTTCAGTACCTTGATCAGCTGAATCAATAACAATATCCACTGGTTCTGCAGACGTTGAAGCTTCCACATGGTCGAATGCATATATTAAAAATCTATGCTTTCGTATAGATGATCTAAATTTATAAAAATATATCTAAGTATTACGCTTTATTTACTGCCACCAACTTACCCATAAAAACTTTTTGGATCCAAAGATATATCCATTTTTCCACTGAAAGAAAACTAAAACTCAAAATTATTAAACACTAAAAACTAAAACACCACGTGTTTTCTTCTAGCAAGCTCGTGACAACTAATCCAAGCCGTTACAATTATGCGCGGTCATTCTCTAGGGAAAATTTAATAAGTGTTTCGCTGTTGCCAACGTTCCTATTTTGGGAACAATGAATGCTGAACGTGATATCTTTAGAAATAAGTTACCTAAAGGTATTTTTTGTAAATATTTCCTTTATATAATTCATTTGCTGTATTTCTATTTAACAATAAATCACAGTTCGGTACATATCGACTCGCAGTAACAACTTTAGCACAAAAAAGCAAGTGACATGAATTTGGACGTCATTTTACGCGGTTTTTAAATGAATACCGTAAGTAAAAAAAACATCTTAGCTAACAGAAAGTAAGAATGGGAAATACAGAAAGCATATTTGTTACAATATTTGAAAATATTTCAATATTTTCTTAATCCAACTTATTTTTTACTGTGTTCCCAAACATTTTAAGTAAAGTTAATCTTAATAATTAATTAATAATTCAGAAAAGTTTGATATTTCATTTTGACATATGACAGTCAGTATTATCGTTTTCTGTCAATTGGCACATAACCAAAATTTTAAATTCTGTTTTGTTAAAATGTTAAACTTAATGTAAGGTTTGTTGATAAATTTGGATAATTTTATTTGTAATAACTGTATATGTGAAATAACAATACATAGGTATATAATGTTTCTCTTTAAACCAGAAGTTTAAATTATTTCTTTTAAAAAAACTTTTACCCTTAAAGGATTTTTTAATTGGCGTCCACTTTAAATAGTTTAAGAATCTTCTTGTGTATTGTTGGCCAGAAAATCTCTGTAAGTATTTTTTTGTAGTTTATCCTGTATCTCAAATAAAGGAACCTTTATCCACGACCTAGCTCTCCAACCAAAATACCAGTAGCAAATGTTTCAATTTATTAGCTTACCCTATCTGCAGCCCAGTAATTGTTCAGTTCCCCCTTTCAACCCTACATAAGCAATTATATATTGTTAAAACTGACACCCAACGTGGTAGGCCGATAAAAATTCTTACAAAATATAAAAGGAACAAGTGGAGAGGACACCCCAGTCGCAGGTGTCTAGACACCAATATAAAAAAATGGTTTCAAATTGGCCGATTTTATTGTATCTAATTTGTTGTAAATTGAACAATTAATTACATAAAATATTGACGATTATATTAACTTAATTTTGAACTTTATCACATTCTGATACAGATTCACAAATAAAATACTGATCGGAATCGCAACTCATATCGTTCCAAGCATTGTTTCCTTTATAGTAATCAAAGATCAAACAGTTTTCATCCACCATTTTATCAGGAGTTTTGCCGGAAGGTTCACCAGCACCCCAATTTGTGTATGATATACGTTGGCCTGTTGATAACCAAACCCATTGATCCTCTCCAACCAGTTTTGTACCCGACGTCCAGTATAATCCTGTTAAAACACCTAAAATAATAAAAAATATATAGTCAATTTATTAAAAAAAAAATTTAAATATAATTCCAATTAGTTTTATTAACTTCGTAAATGTACTGGGTGTGCCAAAAGAAGCGGGACAATAAAATATTTCGCGAAATTTACATTGGATCGAAAACCTGTGAAAATATTTTCAATATTTTTCAAAATGTATAGTATGACACTAAGAGCAATGCTCTTTTTTATTGCAGATTCGGATTTCTTATACAAAAATAAGTAACTTATATTCGAGACATATTCTTGAAATGGTGATAGATGGCGCTGTAACCAGAAAAACACGGCAGGTTTTTAATATTTTTCAAAAATTTCTCGAATAAAACCTAACACGACCCCAATACCCGTTGGGAATGGGGCAGTGGCAACTTTGAAATCCTAAATAGAAACCTCAAATGAATAGTAACCCCCTATCTCGAAATTAAAAAAAAATCAGATAATACTTGTTTACTTTTTCACATAGAATCTGAATCTGCAATTAAATGGGGTTTTTTATTTAGAATTTCAAAGTTGCTTCTCGCCACACCCTCAGTGGTTGGGGATGGGGATGGAAAACTGTGTTGGATGTTATTCGATACATTTTGAAAAATAATAAACATTTGTTGTCTGGTTTGCTCACACAAACACACCTGGCTAACCCCCCCCCCCTCAAAAAAAATATGATACTCCCGAAAGCGAAATAGACACGAGTTCGCGCATTGCGTCACAATGAGAATGATTTTAAATATTCTCCGTAAGAACAACGGTGCTTGGAATACCACTAATTTTTAATTGGCACTAAAAATCATTTTATGGATTAATAGAATATATATATTAATAGAATATGAATAATTTTGATTGAAAAAATTAATAAATAATATAGTAAAAAAAAAATTGTGAATTTTATTTAAAACTTTTTGTTTGTATTCTTTGCTCTTTAATCAAAGGAAGGTAACCTTCGTAAATTTTACATGCTCTATTTGACTAAAGTCTCAAAGAGGGGATCGAGCCTTCGTCTAGTTGCACGTAAACAGATGAAAATAATTGATCAGTAATTATCTGTAATAAAATCGACAAAACAAATAGAACACAAGGTTTTAAGTTACAATTTCCTTTAATTTTCTCTTATTTCACATATCTTCTTTAAGTGTTAGGTTTAATTTCTTAATTCTAAAATTCATTCGAGATCAAAAGAGTTGTGTAATTATCTATTGCACAATCCTCTTCGACTCTCTTTTGGAAAGCCTTTAATGACTCTTAAGTTAATTTATGAAAAAACTTTTTGATTGTGAATTCAGCTTAGATCCTTTGGACATAAAATGTTTGGAACAAGTTCTTGAGGTTTTAGGATTAAATTTGTCTTCATGACACCAAGTAATAACCCTAGGTTTGTCACTACCGACTCCTTGAAAAACAATGAAACCTTGAGAAAAACAGATTTTTCGGCATCTCTTGTCTGATTATGACTCAAACAACCAGCAAAAAGTCCCTAAAAATGCAGGAGGGGTATGAGTATGATTGGGTATTAAGTACTGACTTAATAATAATTAAACATACTATATTTCTATTACTAACTAATTAAACTTCTAAAACATCAAATTATTGTCCATATAATGTAGGTAGATATGGATTATGGATGGTAGGGATATGGATTTTATTAGAAACAATAGTCAGATGATTGCAAACAATTTAGAGAGCAATTTTAAGAATTATGAACAACAAGAATCCATTAAGGGTCATTGGAAACAAATCAAAAGGATTATAAGCAACTGAACTCCAAACTTAAAAGAGAGCAGTCAAAAAAAGCAACAGTGGATGAACGATGAGATTTTGAATTTGATGGAAAAAAGACGCAATTTTAAGAACCAAAACGTCAAAATGTATAAAGTAAATAATAAAGAGATAAGGACTATAATAAGAGCTGCAAAACAAACATACTTCGAAAACAAATGTTTAGAAACTAAAGAGTTACAGGGAAAACATGATTCATTTAATATGTATAAAAAAATAAAAGCACTTACAGGTCAGAACAAAAAACAGGCTAATAACATCATTGACAGAGAAGAAAAACTGATTATCACTAACTTGCATAAAATAGACAGATGGAAAGGGTATATTGAGGAACTGTTTAATAATGAAAGGCCCGAGCTTGAAATTAACGAAGTAGTTACAGCACCTGACATAACTATGGACGAAATTGAACAAGCAATACGATTAGCAAAGACCCGAAAAGCGACGGGACCAGATGAAATACCGAGTGAAATAATAAAGCTCTTCGAAAGTTCAGGTAAAATATCTCTCCTTCATCTGTTTAATAAAATTTGTGAAACTGGCTATATACCAACGGATTGGCGGCTGTCGACTTTTGTGACGATACCTAAAAAAGCAAATGCAAAAAGATGTAGTGACTACCGAACCATCAGCTTGAGTCATATTTTAAAGATATTTCTACGAATTTTGCATTCTAGGATGTACCAAAAAATAAAAAAATAGAACAACAACTTGGTGACACACAGTTTGGATTCCGCAATAACCTTGAGAAGAGTACTAGATCAAGAGAAGCACTATTTAGTATACAGAGATGCAAAGATGTCGGACATCTAGTTTATATTTGTTTTATTGACTTTGAGAAGGCCTTCGATCAAGTAAAAACATACTGAAATGATATCCATTCTTCAGCAGGTAGGTATTGATGATAAAGACCTACACATTATTAAAAATCTTTACTGGCATCAACGTGCAAACATCACAATTGGCTGGGACATTTCTGAAGAGCTTCAAATACGAAGAGGGGTAAGGCAGGGCTGCATTTTGTCCCCGATACTATTTAACATCTCTTCTGAGTTCGTTTTCAATAAAGCAGTGGATAATGTTATATATATATATATATATATATATATATATATATATATATATTACAGGATCCAATTTGTAAATAGAATACATCTTGGAGACGGCTATCGCCGTATTCCCGTCCTCCTCCGCCAATCCTCTCGGTCCAAGGCATGCTCCTCCTCCAAACCTCTCGATTCCATTGCTCTTCTAATACCTTCATTCCATGAGCGTCGAGGTCTACCTCTTTTTCTTCTACCAGGGGGCTTCCATCTGTGACGTTTTTGGGGCCAACGTTCGTCAGGCATTCTTAACAGGTGTCCAAACCATTTTAAACCTCTTCTTTCTATTCTGTCTATGACCGTATCTGTAGCATTCATCTGATTTCTTATAGATTTGTTGGTTTTCCTTTCCAACCTTGATGTTCTAGCACTTCTTCTCAAATAATCCATTTCAACTGCCAACAATCTTCTTTTCAGGTCTGCATTAATTGTCCATACTTCAGAGCCATAACAAAGAACTGATTCAACCATCGTTTGCCCTATTCTTTTTTTGTTCCTTTTGGAAATGTTGCGATCCCACCATAAGGAGTTCAAACATCCTACAATTTTACGTCCCTGATTAATTCGGTGTTTAATTTCGGTTTCACCCAAGCCGTTCTTATCAATGAATGCACCTAAATATTTAAATTTTTCCACTTGTGTGATTTCCACGTCCTCGTCTATCAATACTTCAAACCTTGCATCTGAATTAATAACTAGATATTCCGTTTTCTTCATGCTGACTTTTAACCCCCATTTTACATATTCTCTGTATAGACGCTTTATCATAAATTCTAGATCATAAGAATCTTGAGCTAGAACGACTTGGTCATCCGCAAAGTTCAGGGAGAACAGTACGTCATTTCCTATTGGGATTCCCATTCCCTGGCAGTGGTTTTTCCAATTTTGAAGGGCTGCCTCAATATATAAATTAAACAGTAAAGGTGACATACTGCATCCTTGTCTCAGTCCTTTAGTTACTTTTATCGGCTCTGATAGTCTATTTCCGATTTTTAGGTAAGTGGTGTTATCCCTGTATACTTCTGTGATTATTCCTAAAAGGTGTGGACTAATGCCGAGTTGTTGTAAAGCTTGCCACAATTTAGGCCTTGGTACTGTATCATACGCTTTTTCTAGATCGATGAAGGCTAGATGTACTTCGTTACCAACCGCTATTCTTTTTTCTATTAATTGTTGGAGTATAAACAAGTTATCAGTGCAAGATATACCAGGCGTAAATCCGCTTTGGTCTTCGCTAATTAGATGTCCTACATCATCTTGTATTTTTCTATTTATTATCTTTCCAAACAATCTGCCGAAAGTAGGTAGGACACTCAATCCTCTGTAGCAGTTAGGATCTTTTCGATTACCCGGGTAATCGGATAATGTTCAATATGGTATAAAATTAAATGGCGTCAATATTAATAATTTGAGATATGCAGATGACACAGTGTTAATTGCAAGCAATTACGAAGAACTTCAACATCTAATTAATAGCATTACCACAACATGTGATGAATATGGCCTTAAGCTAAACACCGCAAAGACAAAGGTGATGGTCGTCAGTAAAACGCCAATACAATCGAAAGTGGTAACAGCTTATGGTGAACAAATGGAGAGAACTAACAGTATCACTTACCTTGGTTGTAATCTAAATGAGAACTGGGACATCAGCAAAGAAATTAGCATACGGAAAGAGAAGGTCAGAGCTGCATTCTTTAAGATTAAGAGACTGTTATGTGGAACCAATATTGAATATTTTGGCCATGTTATGCGCCACCCAGAAATATATAATATACTCCATTTAATAATACAAGACAAGCTAGAGAGAAGAAGGGGCCAGGTCGAAGAAGCATGTCATGGCTTAGAAACCTGAGAGATTGGTTTAACAGATCCTCTGCATCTGCTTCCTGAGCTGCCCTCAACAAAATTACTATAGCCAATTCGATAGCCAACGCTCGATAATCGAGCAAGGCACATGAAGAAGAAGATATCTACAATGCCACTATCACTTAGAACATTGCATAAAATGTTTGAAATATTTGCCACTTTGTCAGGGCAGTAGCCAGGCACTTTCAAAGGACATATGAGGAGGTTTCCTCTTCCTCATTATAAATACGTCAC